ACTCTGAAGGAGGGGTGTTAATGTTGCAGTTTAAAACTGAAGTGTAAAGCACCCTTTGGCAAGACAGTGATGGAGTGAATGATGGTGAAAGTTCTTCTTTTTCGGGCCACCCATGCCTTGGTTGGAATCGGCCAGTGTGATATATATAATATCTATAATTAATATATATATTATATATAATATAAATATTAAATATATATATATATTATAAATATATATTTATATATATATATATAATATATCTTAGTGTGTCTTAGTGTGGAACTTTTGGTCCTCAAATCAATGGCGAGCTGGGAATTAATGGCAAGATTTTTAACATCTGCTGCCTCTTTGTTGGGATAAGACCTATGAACTCCAGTGATATCCTGAATTTAATAATTCGATAAAGTGAGGGACATTCATAGGAAGGTATTCACCTTACTGATGAGGTATCGGTTCTTGGATGTTGTCCAAGGACCGATACATCTGTAATAAAGATCAGTTAAGTAAAGATATCTTCAATCATTAATGGCAATTAGTAACCGTGTAAAATAACACTGGACTACCTATTTTTCTATTCATTGTTCATCTCTTTATCTACGAATCTGTCATCTGTTACCACTGTGTCTCTCTCGCAGGTGTGGCAGGGAAGTTACGAGAAGATAGACGATACTCACATTCGCATTTACGACGACGACATCGCGGTGGGCACCGGCGGTATAGTAGACTTCAGCTTCCAGGTGCACTTCTCAGGCACTGAGCGTCCGGAGATCATCGGAGCTACCATGAATGATGTCGACGTGTGCGGTAGGTGGTGTGTGTGTGTGTGTGTGTGTGTGTGTGTGTGTGTGTGTGTGTGTGTGTGTGTGTGTGTGTGTGTGTGTGTGTGTGTGTGTGTGTGTGTGTGTGTATGTGTGTGTGTGTACTCAGCTAATTGTACTCTCCTAATTGTGGTCCCAGGGGTCGATACTCAGCTCCTGGCCCCGCCTCTTCACTGATCACTGCTAGGTCCTCTCTCTCCCTGCTCCATGGGCTTTATCATACCTCATCTTAAAGCTATGTATGGTTCCTGCCTCCACTACCTCACTTGCTAGAATACTCCACTTCCTGACTACTCTATGACTGAAGAAATACTTCCTAACATCCCTTTGACTCATCTGGGTCTTCAACTTCCAATTGTGAACCCTTGTTTGTGTCCCCTCTCTGGAACATCCTGTCTCTGTCCACCTTGTCTATTCCACGCAGTATTTTGCATGTCGTTATCATGTCTCCCCTAACTCTCCTGTCCTCCATTGTCATCAGTCCGATTTCCCTTAACGTTTCTTCATGGGACATTCCCTTTAGCTCTGGAACTAACCTTATCGCAAACCTTCGCATTTTCTCTAATTTCTTGACGTGTTTGATCAAGTGCGGGTTCCAAACAGGTGCTGCATACTTCAGTGTGGGCCTGACGTACACGGTGTACAGTATCTTAAACGATTGCTTACTAAGGTATCGGAACGCTGTTCTCAGGTTTGCCAGGCGCCCATATGCTGCAGCAGTTATCTGGTTGATGTGTGCTTCAGGAGACGTGCTCGGTGTTGTAATCACTCCAAGATCTTTCTCCTTGAGCGAGGTTTGCAGTCTTTGGCCATCTAGCCTATACTCCGACTGCGGTCTTCTGTTCCCTTCCCCGATCTTCATAACTTTGCAATTGGCGGGGTTAAATTCGAGAAGCCAGTTGCTGGGCCAGGTGTCCAGTCTGTCCAGGTCTCTTTGAAGTCCTGCCTGATCCTCATCTGATTTAATTCTCCTCATTAACTTCACATCATTTGCGAACAGAGACACTTCTGAATCTAACCCTTTCATCATGTCATTCACGTATACCAAAAATAGCACTATTCCTAGGACTGACCCCTGTGGGAGCCCGCTCGTCACAGGTGCTCACTGTGATATCTCATCACGTACCATGACTCGTTGTTGCCTCCCTGTCAGGTATTCTCTGATCCATTGCAGTGCCCTTCCTGTTATAGTCGCCTGATCTTCTAGCTTCTGCACAAATCTCTTGTGAGGAACTGTATCTAAGGCCTTCTTGCAGTCGAGGAAGATGCAATCAACCCACTCCTCTCTCTCGTGTTTTACTTCTGTTATTTTGTCATAAAACTCCAGAAGGTTTATGACACAGGATTTGCCTTCCATAAATCCGTGCTGGTTGGCGTTTATACTCATGTTCCGTTCCAGGAGCTCCACCACTCTCCTCCTGATAGTTTTCTCCATGAATTTGCATACTATACACGTCATTGATACTGGTCTACAGTTTAGTGCCTCTTTTCTGTCTCCTTTTTTAAAAATGGGAACTAAATTTGCGGTCTTCCATACCTTAGGTAGTTGCCCAGTTTCAAGGGATGTGTTGAAGATTGTGGTTAGTGGCACACACAGCATATCCGCTCCCTCTCTAAGGACCCACGGGGAGAAGTTGTCCAGTCCCATTACCTTTGAGGTATCAAGGCGCCTTAGCAGCTTCTTCACTTCCTCCTCAGCTGTGTGTATGTCATCCAACACTTGTTGATATATTCCTTGTTGGTGTCCCCCTTTGTTCTGTCCTCCCAGAGGCCTCCCTGTCTCCACTGGAAATATTCCTTAAATCTCATGATCACCTGGTCTTTGACTGTTGTTTTCCTCCTAATGTGGCTATACAGCAGTTTCGGGGCAGACTTCACTTTCGATGCTATGTCGTTTTCGTATTGTCGATGAGCCTCCCTCTTTCCCTGTGCATACTCGTTTCTGGCTTTTCGACTAATCTCTTTATTTTCCTGAGTCGTTTGCCTCCTGTACCTTTTTCATTCTCTGGTGTACTTACTTTTTGCCTCCCTACACCTTCGGGTAAACAAATGACTCGCTTCGCTCTTCCCATTATTTCTACTGCCCTTGGGAACAAACCTTTCATCTGCTTCCTTGCATTTTGTTGTGTGTGTGTGTGTGTGTGTGTGTGTGTGTGTGTGTGTGTGTGTGTGTGTGTGTGAGTGTGTGTGTGTGTGTGTGTGTGTGTGTGTGTGTGTGTGTGTGTGTATACTCACCTAATTGTACTCACTTAATTGTGGTTGCAGGGGTCGAGACTCAGCTCCTGGCCCCGCCTCTTCACTGATCACTACTAGGTCCTCTCCCTCTCTGCTTCCTGAGCTTTGTCATACCTCTTCTTAAAACTATGTATGGCTCCTGCCTCCACTACTACACTTGTTAGGCTATTCCACTTTCTGACGACTCTATGACTGAAGAAATACTTCCTAACGTCCCTGTGACTCGTCTGAGTCTTCAGCTTCCAGTTGTGACCCCTTGATTCTGTGTCCCCTCTCTAGAACATCCTATCTCTGTCCACCTTGTCTATTCCCCGCAGTATCTTGTATGTCGTTATCATGTCTCCCCTGACACTTCTGTCCTCCAGTGTCGCCAGTCCGATTTCCCTCAATCTTTCCTCGTACGACATTCCCCTGAGCTCTGGGACTAGCCTTGTTGCAAACCTTTGTACTTTCTCTAACTTCTTGACGTGCTTGACCAGGTGTGGGTTCCAGACTGGTGCTGCATACTCCAGTATGGGCCTAACATACACAGTGTACAGTGTCTTGAACGATTCCTTATTAAGGTATCGGAACGCTATTCTCAGGTTTGCCAGGCGCCCGTATGCTGCAGCAGTTATTTGGCTGATGTGTGCCTCCGGTGACGTGCTCGGTGTTATGGTCACCCCAAGGTCTTTCTCCCTGAGTGAGGTCTGTAATCTTTGTCCACCTAGCCTATACTCTGTCTGCGGTCTTCTTTGCCCCTCCCCAATCTTCATGACTATGCATTTGGCAGGGTTGAATTTGAGAAGCCAGTTTCTGGACCACATGTCCAGCCTGTCCAGGTCTCTTTGCAGTCCTGCCTCATCCTTATCCGATTTAATTCTTCTCATCAACTTCACATCATCTGCGAATAGGGACACTTCAGAGTCTATTCCTTCCATCATGTCGTTCGCATATATCAAATATAGCACTGGTCCTAGAACTGACCCCTGTGGGACCCCGCTCGACACAGCCGCCCACTGTGATACCTCTTCACGTACCATGACTCGTTGTTGCCTCCCTGTCAGGTATTCCCTGATCCATTGCAGTGCCCCTGTGTGTGTGTGTGTGTGTGTGTGTGTGTGTGTGTGTTTGTGTGTGTTTGTGTGTGTGTGTGTGTGTGTGTGTGTGTGTGCGTGTGTGTGTGTTTGTGTTTGTGTTTGTGGGTGTGTGCGTGTGTACTCACCTATTTGTGGTTGCAGGGGTCGAGTCTTAGCTCCTGGCCCCGTCTCTTCACCGGTTGCAACTGGGCCCTCTCTCTCTCCCCGCTCCTTGAGCTTTATCAAACCTCGTCTTAAAACTGTGTATGGTTCCTGCCTCCACTACGTCATTTTCTAGGCTGTTCCACTGCCTTACAACTCTATGACTGAAGAAATACTTCCTAATATCTCTCTGACTCATTTGTGTCTTCAACTTCCAATTGTGGCCTCTTGTTTCTGTGTCCCCTCCCTGGAACATCCTGTCTTTGTCCACCTTGTCTATTCCACGCAGTATTTTATATGTCGCTATCATGTCTCCCCTGACCCTCCTGTCCTCCAGTGTCGTCAGGCCGATTTCCCTTAATCTACATTTGCCGTCTTCCATACCTCAGGTAGTTGCCCAGTTTCCAGGGACGTGTTGAAGATTGTGGTAAGTGCACGCAAAACATATCTGCTCCCTCTCTAAGGACCCATGGGGAGATGTTGTCCGGTCCCATTGCCTTTTAGGTATCGATGTCCCTTAGCAGTTTCTTCACCTCCTCCTCATCTGTATGTATGTCGTCCAACACTTGTTGGTGTATTCCTTGCTGGTGTCCCCATCTGGTCTGTCCCCCCAGAGCCCTTCCTGTCTCTACTGTAAATACTTCCTTAAATCTCGTGTTGAGCTCCTCACATACCTCTTGATCGTTTCTTGTGAGTTCTCCACCTTCTTTCCTCAGCCTTATCACCTGGTCCTTGACTGTTGTCTTCCTCCTAATGTGGCTATACAGCAGTTTCGGGTCAGATTTGACTTTCGATGCTATGTCGTTTTCATACTGTCGCTGGGCCTCCCTCCTTATCTGTGCATACTCGTTTCTGGCTCTTCTACTAATCTCCTTGTTTTCCTGGGTCCTATGCCTCCTGTACCTTTTCCATTCTCTGTTGCACCTAGTTTTTGCCTCCCTACACCTTCGGGTAAACCAAGGACTCGTTTTGGTCTTCCTATTATTTCTGTTTCCCTGGGAACAAACTTTCCTCTGCCTCCTTGCACTTTGTTGCCACATATTCCATCATCTCGTTTACTGATTTTCCTACCATTTCTCTGTCCCACTGAACCTCCTGCAGGAAGTTTCTCATACCTGTGTAGTCCCCCCTTTTATAGTTTGGCCTGTCCCCTTCAGTTCCTGTTACCTTCTCCACTTGTAACTCTACTATATAATCAAAACTCAGAACCACGTGATAGCTAGCTCCAAGGGGCCTCTCGTAAGTGATGTCCTCAATGTCTGAACTGCTCAGGGTGAACACAAGATCCAGTCTTGCTGGTTCATCCTCCTTTCTCTCTCTAGTTGTGTCCCTGACATGTTGATGCATGAGGTTTTCAAGTACCACATCCATCATCTTGGCTCTCCATGTTTCGGGACCCCCATGTGGCTCCAGGTTTTCCCAGTCGATCTCCCTGTGGTTGAAATCGCCCATTACCAGTAACTTTGCTCTCCTCGAGTGAGCTCTTCTTGCCACCTCAGCCAGTGTGTCCACCATCACCCTGTTGTTTTCT